TGAGACGGGAAGCAAATGTCCAAATAGTTGATGTTCTTGGGTCCTCCAATTCAGTAACATTGGGAAGTTTGCAACTCCTTTCAGCTCCTTGTGTTGACGAATGGGAAGTCAGGCTTTCCTGAATGTAGCATTACTCAATGCCAGATTTTCTGGGCCTTGCCAGCCCAGGTGTTTTTGTGCTGCAGGTCATGACTTCCATGAAGAAATGACGGCAGGAAGGAGCCACAGCTTCTGCCTTGGCACAGATGCCAAGCCTTGCCCCCAATGGCTGCAGCTGCTTTTGGGAACGGATTCCTTCCGAGCTGGGGCAGGTTGGCCGGGCTGGGGGAGGCCCCAGGGCACATGGCAGTGTGTCACAGGGCCCTTTGTGACACGGTGGCCGTCGCCCAGGGGATGGAACAGTGTCCTTTGTGACCCGTGGTGATAAAGGTGTTGGCGGCAACGCGGCCACGCCACCGTGCTCGGAGCGGGCGACTGGGCAGGACGGGACAGAGCGGTGCTGTGAGGAGCCTCCTCGCAGCCAACTCCTTTCTCGTCAACCAGGAGCGTTTTCGAGAGTTCTTTTTTGATCATCTTCCCTCGAGGCCACAGCACAGGAGTTGGGGACCCGGAGCGTTTCTCAGGTGACCCCACTCCCTGTGGGAGTGGCCCTCGAGGCCAGGCCACGGGCCTTGGTGACCCGGAGCTTTTCCGAGGAGTCACCAGTGCCTGTGGCAGCGGCCCTTGAGGCCATTTGTTGTGAATTTGCCACCAGGGGCTTTTCCAAACCATCAGCAGCCCCTGTGGCAGTGGCCCTTGAGGCCATTTGTTGACACTTTGCCACCAGGGGCTTTTCCAAACCATCCCCAGTCCCTGTGGCAGGAGCCCCGCAGGCCATTCTGTCACACTTGGCCGCCAGGGGTGTTTTTCCCAGGTTTCTCTCCCGCAGGTGCCCTCAAGACCAGGTGCCATGGCGGGGGGATGCTTCGGCCTGTGCCGGCTGCTCCGGGGGAAGAGGAAGAACAGGAGAGGCCCTGGAGCTGGCCCAGCACAGGAAGCAGAAGAGGAGGAGGTGCAGCACTTCCAGCCACTGCAGCAGGGTGAGTGTTGGAGCTGGGCCCCAGGGATGGTGGCTGCAGCCAGCTGGACCCCTTGCCGTCCCCTCTGGACATGGTCAGAGAAAGGGAGGGGGAAAGGGGGGCCAAGGTTGATCCCCCCGGCATCCGTGCTCCATCCCCTGGGCATCCCAGGGCTGGCCCTGCCTGTGGAGTGCAGGGCTGGGCTGTGTTCTCTGGCCTCTCCCGTGGCCCCTCAGCTCTGACTGCGCTCGCTCTTTGCCAGATCCAGGCCGGGACCGCCCAGAAGAGCAGGACCGCGCCCGTGGCCGCTTGCGCAGGGCACTTCAGGTACCTGCAGCCATCCCCCCCTGGGCTGGGCCTGCTGTCCCTGCTCCGCCTGGCACCGCTGTCAGAGCACTCCATGCCACTTCCCTCTCTTCCCTGCCCTTTCTTCTCCTGCAGAGGTTGCTGAAATTCATGGGTGTTCGGCGCAGAAGAGCCACGACCGCACCGCCTGAGCTCACGGCACAGCCTGACACCAGCGCAGCCGAGCTCGAGGCGGAGCCTGATGGCAGCACTGCACCAAGGGATTGTGCAGCCAGCAGTGACATGGCACCCATTGATTGTGCAGCCAGTGGTGACACGGCACCGACCGATGGCACAGCAACCACGGACGTGTCCGCGATTGATGGCACAGAAACCACCGCCATGGCAGCAATTGATTGTGCAGCCAACTGTGTCATGGCACTTACTGATGGCACAGACACCGCTGAGATGGCACAGCTCGAGGGTACAAGAACCACTGATATGGCAGAGGTTAATGGCACAGACATCTCTGACACGGCACTGATGGATGGCACAGCCACCTGTGACACCGCGCTGGTTGACACCGACACAAGCTCTGACACGGCACCAACTGATGTCGGGGCCAAGGCTGACGCCACTACCGAGGGCATCGCAGACAATGACTGCACATCCACGCAGAGTGTGACTGATGCTCCCAGTCGGGACCTGGCACAGCCTGACACCAGCGCAACCGAGCTCGAGGCAGAGCCTGATGGTAGCACTGCACCAATTGATTATGCAGCGAGTGGTGACATGACACCCATAGATGGCACAGCAACCTCAGACACAGCAGTGACCGATGGCACAGAAACCACCGACATGGCAGCAGTCGATTGCGCAGCCAAATGTGACGTGGCACTGGTTGATGGCACTGACACCTTTGACATATCACAGATCGAGGGCACAGAAACCTCTGACACATCACCAGTTGAGGCCACAGAAACCTGTGTCCTGGCACCAGTGGAAGGCACAGCCACCTGTGACACCGCGCTGGCTGACACCGACACAAGCTCTGACACGGCACCAACTGATGTCAGGGCCCAGGCTGATGCCACGACTGAGGGCATCACAGACAATGACTGCGTGTCCACGCACTGTGTGACTGATGCTCACAGTCTGGGCCTGGCAGAACCTGACACCAGCACAGCCAAGCTCAAGGTGGAGCCGGATGTCAGCACTGCACTGACTGATTGTGCAGCCAACGCTGTCATGGCACCAGATGATGGCACAGCAACCTCTGACGTGGCAGTGGTTGATGGCACAGAGACCACCGACATGGCAGCAATTGATTGCGCAGCCAACTGTGAT